TCATTACATTTATGGATTTAGAAAAGGCATATGATAGAGTGGATAGGGGAGCAATGTGGCAGATGTTGCAAGTTGGTAGCAAGTTACTAAATGCTGTAAAGAGTTTTTATGAGGATAGTGAGGCTCAGGTTAGGGTGTGTAGGAGAGAGGGAGATTACTTCCCATAAAAGTAGGTCTTAGACAGGGATGTGTAATGTCACCATGGTTGTTTAATATATTTATAGATGGGGTTGTAAAAGAAGTAAATGCTAGGGTGTTGGAGAGAGGGGTGGGATTAAATTATGGGGAATCAAATACAAAATGGAAGTTGAAACAGATACTTTTTGCTGATGACACTGTGCTTCTGGGAGATTCTAATGAAAAGTTGCAAAGGTTAGTAGACAAGTTTGGGAGGGTGTGTAAAGGTAGAAAGTTGAAAGTGAACATAGATAAGAGTAAGGTGATGAGGGTATCAAATGATTTAGATAAAGAAAAATTGGATATCACACTGGAAAGGAGTATGGAAGAAGTGAACTTTTTCAGATATTTGGGAGTTGACTTGTCAACAGATAGGTTTATGAAGGATGAGGCTAACCACAGAATTGATGAAGGAAAAAAGGCGAGTGGTGCGTTGAGGTATCTGTGGAGACAAAACATGTTATCCATGGAGGCAAAGAAGTGAGTGTATGAAAGTATAGTGGTACCAACACTCTTATATGGGTGTGAAGCTTGGGATGCAAATGCTGCAGCGAGGAGGCAGCTGGAGGCAGTGGAGGTGTGGAGTTACTAAAAGTATTAGTCAGAGGGCTGAAGAGGGGTTGTTGAGGTGGTTTGGTAATTTAGAGAGAATGTATCAAACTAGAATGACATGGAGAGCATATAAATCTGTAGGGAAAGGAAGGCGAGGTAGGGGTCATCCTCAAAAAGGTTGGAGGGAGGGGGTAAAGGAGGTTTTGTGGGCAAGGGGCTTGGACTTCCAGCAAGCATGCGTGAGCATGTTAGATAGGAGTGAATGGAGTCAAATGGTTTTTGGGACCTGACGAGCTGTTGGAGTGTGAGCAAGGTAATATTTAGTGAAGGGATTCAGGGAAACTGGTTATTTTTATATAGCCAGACTTGAGTACTGGAAATGGGGAGTACAATGCCTGCACTTTAAAGGAAGGGTTTGGGATATTGGCAGTTTGGAGGGGTGTTATATATGCTTCTAAACTGTTGTATCTGGGAGCCTCTGCAAAGACAGTGATTATGTGTGAGTGAGGTGAAAGTGTTGAATGATAATGAAAGTATTTTCTTTTTGGGGATTTTCTTTCTTTTTGGGTCACCCTGCCTTGGTGGGAGGCAGCTGACTTGTTGAAAAAAAAAAATATGATAGGGTGGATAGGGGAGCAATGTGTCAGATGTGTCAAGTGTATGGAATACATAGCAAGTTACTAAATGCTGTAGAGTTTTTACGAGGATAGTGAGGCTCAGGGTAGGGTGTGTAGGAGAGAGAGAGATTACTTTCCAGTACAAGTAGGCCTTAAACAGGGATGTGTAATGTCACCATGATTGTTTAACATATTTATAGATGGAGTTGTAAAAAGAAGTAAATGCTAGGGTGTTGGGGAGAGGGTATAGATTAAATTATAGGGAATCGAATACAAAATGGGAATTGAAACGGTTACTTTTCGTTGATGATACTGCGCTTTTGGGAGATTCTACAGAGTTGCAAAGGTTAGTGGATCAATTTAGGAGGGTGTGTACAAGAAGTAAGTTGAAAGTTAACATAGATAAAAGTAAGCCGATGAGGATATCAAACAATTTAGATATAGAAAAATTAGATATCACATTGGAGGGAGGGCATATGGAAGAATTAAATGTGTTCAGATATTTGAGAGTTGACTTGTCAGCAGATGGGTTTACGAATGATGAGGTTAACCACATAAGTGATGAAGGAAAAAAGGTGATTGGTGCTTTGAGTTATCTGTAGACAAAAAATGTTATCCATTGAGGCAAAGAAGCGAATGTACGAGAGTATAGTGGTACCAACACTCTTACATAGGTATGAAGCATGGGTTGTAAATGCTGCTGCAAGGAGGAGACTGGAGGCAGTGGAAATGTCATGTCTAAGGGCAATGTGTGGTGTGAATATTATGCAGAGAATTCGTAGTGTGGAGATTAGGAGGTGTGGAGTTACTAAAAGTATTAGTCAGAGAGCTGAAGAGGGACTGTTGAGGTGGTTTGGTCATTTAGAGAGGATGTAACAAATAATGATTTGGAGAGCGTATAAATCTGTAGGGAAAGGAAGGCGTTGTAGGGGTCGTCCTTGGAAAGGTTGGAGAGAGGGGGTAAATGAGGATTTGTGGGTAAGGAGCTTGGATTTCCAGCAAGCATGCGTGAGCATGTTAGATAGGAGTGAATGGAAACAAATGGTTTTTGGGACCTGACGAGCTGTTGGAGTGTGAAGGGATTCAGGGAAACCGGTTAGTTGGACTCGAGAAGTACAATGCCTGCACCTTAAAGGAGGGGTTTGGGATATTGGCTGTTTGGACTGACAACTAAACTGTTGCATCCGAGCGCCTTTGCAAAGACAATGATTGTGTGAATGATGGTGAAAGTGTTGAACAATGATGTAAGTTTTTTCTTTCTTTTTAGGTTTTCTTTATTTTTGGGTCACCCTGCCTCGGTGAGAAACGGCCAACATGTTAAAAAAAAAAAACTATGCAAGTGATGAGGGAGCAAGGTGATGAGGGAGCAAGGTGATGAGGGAGTAGTAGTATACAACAGCTCGTCAGGTCCCAAATACCATTCATCTCAATTCATTCCTATCGAACACGCTCACGCATGCCTGCTGGAAGTCCAAGCCCCTCGCCCACAAAACCTCCCTTACCCCTTCCTTCCAAACTTTTTGAGGACGACCCCTATCCCGCCTTCCTTCCCCTACAGATTTAAATGCTCTCCATGTCATTTTACTTTGATCCATTCTCTCTAAATGACCAAGCCACCTCAACAACCCCTCTTCAGCCCTCTGACTAATACTTTTATTAACTCCACACCTTCTCCTAATTTCCACACTCCGAATTTTCTGCATAATATTTACACCACGCATTGCACTTAGACAGGACATCTCCACTGCCTCCAACTGCCTCCTCACTGCAGCATTTACAACCCAAGCTTCACACCCATATAAGAGTGCTGGTACAGTTACTATACTTTCATACATTCCCTTCTTTTCATCCATAGATAACATTTTTTGTCTCAACATATACCTCAATGCGCCACTCACTTCTAAACATACTCCTCCTCTCCAATTTGACATCCAATTTTTCTTTATCTAAATCATTTGATACCCTCATCACCTTACTCTATAATTCAGAGCTGAAGTGGGATTGTTGAGGTGGTTTGGGCATGTAGAGAGGATGAACAGGGACAGGCTGAAGGAAGGTAGAAGGGTGAGGGATTGTACCAGGAATGGTTGGAGGAAGGAGGTACAAGAGGCTTTGAGTCTTTAGAAGCCTGAGTATCTAGCAGGCTTGTGTGAGCATGTTAAACAGGAGTGAATGGAGGCAAGTGGATGTTAATGGACTTGCTGTTAGAGAGTGAGCAGGGTAACTTTTATGAGGGGATTTAATCCTCATAACCCTCATAGGCGATTTCACCGATTGAGCCCTATTTTTGGCCAATTCCAATGTACCAGTCGACAAAAATCATAATTATTTCGCTCGAACTCCATTTTTTCTATCAAATGAGTACAAGAAACCACCCGTTTACCGATTTCAACTCTCCAATAAAGTGGTCAGAAAGTGGCAATTTTGCCAATTACACACATAAGAACATAAGAAAGGAGGAACACTGCAGCAGGTCTGTTGGCCCATACTAGGCAGGTCTTTCACAGATCCATCCCACTAACAGAATATTTCCCCTCATAAGAACATAAGATCATAAGAAATAAGGAACACTGCAATAGGCCTACTGGTCTATGCAAGGCAGCTCCAATTCTCCCCACCGGCTTAAGCCAATGCCCTGACCTAGTGAGGTCAGACATGTCACTTAAGGGATTAGCACTGCGTCCGACCTAGTAGCTAGTTTGGTCCATTTCACACCCACCCACACCCACTCATAAGAACATAAGAAAGAAGGAACACCACAGCAGGCCCACTGACCCACACGAAGCAGGTCCATGCCCCCCCCTAGATTAGCCCAATGACCCACCTAGTCAGGTCACTTCCACTTAAGGAAGGAGCATGGCATCAAACCTAGTAGCACAAGTTAGTCAGGTCCAACTCACACCCACCCGCACCCACTCATGTATTTATCTAACCTATTTTTAAAACTACACAATGTTTTAGCCTCAATAACTGTACTCAGGAGTTTGTTCCACTCATCCACAACTCTATTACCAAACCAGTGCTTTCCTATTTCCAAATAGGGTCCAGAATAAACAAGATAGACATTCTGGCACTAAAATAACATTTCCTCTGTTCATTAGTCACGTCCCAAGGCCTCTGCTACATTTCTTTTGCTTTCCACTTTGAATTTTTATTCTCACAAAAAATAGATTTACTGTTATGCAGTCTACTGCATTAGTGTAGAAATGGTATAAATAATATCAACGAACTTGTGAAAGAATATTACACTCACCAGTTGACGTGTATTGGACGCAAGGCATGATTTGTTTACTTTTGAACTTTGGCAAAAATCGAACATTTCTGCTACTTTGAGCTCAATTTCAAGGTACATTTCATTGTGAAACCAATCAAAATCATCTCAATTTCTGTAATATGTCTTCCATTCTATAAAATGAGACCAGGAAAACTTAAATAGCATAGGAAAATACATTGCAAAGTCGCTGTTTTAAACCAAAAACACAGTTGGAGTTTTTTTTTTTTCTCATTATGCACTGTGTGCAGCAGGATTTTTTTTTATACTGCGCAGACTGACCACATAGACACATTCTTTCACTAGATTTGAAGGCGCTAGAATTTATGCGTACTAGTACGGCACCAACCCTGGCATGCAAGCCATACTAGCACAGCACCTACCCTGAAAGGGTTAAGGACACTAGTTAACCGGACTTGAATCCCGGAGGTGGAAAAGGAAGGGCAGGGCCTGCACTCTGAAGGAGGGTAATTTGATTGCGATGTCAGCACACTTCTGGAAAGATAGCAAGTAAATTATTGTTGATGAATGTTTTCCCAACCAATATTCAAAAGTCTTGATATTAACTTCACTTACTTTCGCTGGTTCATTAGGATAGAATTCATTTTCTCGAGCCAATTGACAACGAAACACTCTGATATTTGAAGCATCATTTTCTCTATAGCAGTCTGGATCACGACAAACAAATACAAACACCATTCTGAAATATAAAAACATTCATTACTCTCATATCTATACCCTACAGGTACATTTTTCATTTTGCCTGCATTGATAAGGTTCTTTTTCTCCACAGATGTCTCGATGCACCACCCACCTTTTTTACCTCATCTACTGAAAAAGGCTTTGCACTATTCGATACTGCATTAATTTTTGTCTTGCACATATTCAAATATTTATGGCATTTAAAACAAACTGTTTCTTGTTAGGTAAAAGGACACAACTGCAACTAACGTGACATTTTATTATGGCAATGTTTCACTCTCCAGGGGCTTTGTCAAGCCATTACTGGACAGCAAAATTTTGCCACAATAAAATGTCGCAGTTGCAACTGTGTCCTTTTACCTAACATATTGTCGGTAATTCAACCAACATTATTACAAACTGCTTCTTACCACTTTGTTTCACCATATTTCAACAACAGTTTTACGTACTACAGTGGACCCCCGGTTAACGATATTTTTTCATTCCAGAAGTATGTTCAGGTGCCAGTACTGACCGAATTTGTTCCCATAAGGAATATTGTGAAGTAGATTAGTCCATTTCAGACCCCCAAACATACACGTACAAACGCACTTACATAAGTCTACACTTACATAATTGGTCGCATTGGGAGGTGATCGTTAAGCGGGGGTCCACTGTATTCCCAAAGATGTTAAGATTGCAGAAATTACTTATATAATGTCCTGCACTGCCAAAAACCAAAAATGAAGAGCTATCAGACGAGGAACTGCTATACAACATTCACTTTTCCATTGATTATAAGGTGCACTGATATAATACGGTAAGTAAGTATACAAAATTATACTGGAGGAGGGGTTGTTGAGGTGGTTTGGACATGTAGAGGGAATGGAGCAAAACAGAATGACTTCGAGAGTGTATAAATCTGTAGTGGAGGGAAGGCAGGGTAGAGGTCAGCCTAGGAAGGGTTGGAGGGAAGGGGTAAAGGTTGTTTTGTGTGCGAGGGGCTTGGACTTCCAGCAAGAGTGCGTGAGCGTATTTGATAGGAGCAAATGGAGACAAATGATTTTTAATACTTGACGTGCTGTTAGAGTGTGAGCAAAGTAACATTTATGAAGGGATTCAGGGAAACCAGCAGGCCATCTCCAGAGTTCTGGAGATGGGAAGTACAGTGTCTACACTCTGAAGGAGGGGTGTTAATGTTGCAGTTTTATAACTAGTGTAAAGCACCCCTCTGGCAAGACAGTGACGGAGTGAATGACGATGAAAGTTTTTCTTTTTCGGGCCACCCTGCCTTGGTAGGAATCGGCTGATGTGTTAATAAAAAAAAAATAAAAACTATACTTACTAGAAAATTTGCTCAAGTCCTTTGCTTTATGTGGGTTTGTTATACTGCATGCAAATTTGATTTTACAATTCCCTATGTGCAATATAAATTCACCCCATGCAATTAGTTTAGTTAGCAACATTCCTATAATTGAAGAATTAATATGATTATCTGACTGAGCTTACCACAGCTGCCATGGGCCTGACTCAGATCTACCACAAAGTGAGAAATGTCTATTTACGTGTAGGCACTTGAAGCATCATCTAAATTAAGTCATTTGAATTGGAAAGAGAGATAAGCAGGATGTACCAGATAGTGATACAGCCACAGAAGATTGTATATTACCAAGATTACTTAGGGAAAGCAGCCAGAAATTAAGCTAGTCACCTAACACACATTTTTCCAGTATTTAACCCCTTGACTGTCGCAACCCTCAATCCTGAGGTGTCTCCTGGTGTCGCAAAAAAAAAAAAAAAAAAAAAAAATCTTGTGAAATGATAGAGAATCTTTTCCCGACTGTAATGACACCAAAAAAACGAAATTTGATGGAAAACTGACAGAATTACGCTCTTGCAAAGTTAGCGACCTTGGCGATATTTACAAATTGGCAATTTTGCCCACTTTGAGCCCTATTTTCGGCTAATTCCATTGTTCCAGTCGACCAAACTCATAGCTATATCTTTAGAACTCCATTTTTTCTATCAATTGAGTACAAGAAACTGCCCATTTACCAATTTCAACTACCCAATAACATGGTCAGAAATATGCAATTTGGCCAATTTCACGAAAATTAAAAAATATGACAATTTCAAAATAAGGTCCAGAATGAACAATGCAGACATTCCTGGCTCTAAAATAACATTTTCTTTGTTCATCAGTCATGTCTCCAGGGCCCTCTGATATTACTCTTGCTGTCATGTGGGTTTTTCGATATCGTGGATGGGGTAAGAATACTCACGTAGGCTGGTAGTACGTATAATATAACGGAAAGTATGGGAAGGCACCAACAGCCGACCTGCCTCTCTCTGCTCCCTATCTAGACTGACTCACAAGTGTCTACAGTGCGAGGGTGTTTGAAATCCTGCTATGGTCAGCAGCAATATGAATAGAGTCAATGATTCACACAGACGGTTGGTAGTGAGTCATCTACTGGTACACTGGTTACTGGTAACTGGTTACTAGGAACTGGTACTAATACTGAGAGCTCGGCGACGCTAACATATGTCGTCCCAACATACAACTAATACAAACTAGAGACGGCAGGTGTACGGCTTGGGCTGATTCTATACAATGTCAAAGTACACAACAATTGAACATTATAACATACATAAGTAGAATATTGGAATGGAAGCTTACATAACTGAAACTGTAATGAAACTGTAACGCAAAACAAGGTATGATATAGCACAACTCATCGAATGAAACTCAATGTTGGGATTACACAATAGAAGTTATAAAAAAAAAATTTGATCGATCGATCTGTATTCATGTGATCTACGGATTCTGAGGAAGGAATATATACAAAGAAAGAAGTGTTTAACAGAAAGGCAAATTCGGTGCACTCAAATCTAGACTGTTAACTCTCAGAATTCGGAGAGAACGTGAACACAAAAAAAAAATTCTTGAATACTGATAAGTTGATACTGTAATTATTCATCTATACAGGTTATTTACATTTAACCCCAACTCTGCTAGGGTGAGATTGATATATGCAGAATGGGTGTCATCTCTGGGAGGATCAAACTCTGTTGCACTGGCTAACTCATGCTGTATTTGAGGCAAATCTGAATTGGTAGTTACAAATGATACTTGAGGATTTCTCAATACTGTACCTGTCATGTACGTAGGGAATAACGACATTCAGGTTGATCGTCTGACTGAGTATCAGAGGTAGAGAGTACATGATCAGGAGGATTGTCAGAGTCTGTCACATTAGTCTGGGTTGAAACATCATTATCATCACATACTAACTTTATATGATCTAAATGCGATTCTTTATACTGACCAGTACTAATTTCTCTAACCTTATACTTATTACCAGTGATATGTTCAACTACTCGATAAGGACCAACAAACTTTTGATCAAGCTTAGGCATTGCAGACGTTTTGTTAAAGTTAGTCAGCATAACTCTCAAACCTACTTTGATTTTGGATGGCTTTGCTCAAGTTTTGCAACTCTTGTAAATTCTGTTTGTTGTTTTTATGAAGTGTTTCACCGGATTCTTCTAAAGACACTTTGAGCTAAACTGGTACGAGTTGCTATGAAATCATCAGGTTGGGTAATTTGGTTTTGGTTTTAGAATATAACAACTCATAAGGCAAACGTTATCTACACCATACAATGCATAATGTGGAGTGAAAACCTATAGAAACATTGTAAGCAGAATTTATAGCACACTGCACATCAGGTATAACTTCATCCCAATTTCACTGTTGGGATTGATAGTGGCTCTCAAACATAAAGTACAGTGGACCCCCGCATAAAGATTCCTCCGAATGCGACCAATTATGTAAGTGTATTTATGTAAGTGCGTTTGTACGTGTATGTTTGGGGGTCTGAAATGGACTAATCTACTTTACAATATTCCTTATGGGAAAAAATTCGGTCAGTACTGGCACCTGAACAACTTATGGAGTGAAAAAATATCGTTAACCGGGGTCCACTGTACTTTCTTATTGGTACTTCCGCTAACCCACTGCGGCAGGATGATGAGGAGCAATGGTGGATTTTGAGATCTTGTAAAGGTGCGGCACAAATTTTCAATTATCTCATTACAGAATTCACCTCCATTATCTGTTACTAGGGACTTTGGGGTGGTATGCCTGCGATAATGCGTTCTTTAAATGCTTTAGCTACTGTCTCGGCAGTCTTATCTGCAATAGGGAAATAACTCACAATATCTGGTGAAATGGTCTTTCCATAACACATAGATGTTTGGTTTCCCTGGGGGGAACATTGGAAATTAGTTAACAAATCACGCAACTCTTCCCACGGTTCGCTAGGGATTGGATACACTTGGATTGGATTAGGGCCATTAGCATTACCCTTTTTGTTTGCATGCAGACACTACATTTCTTAACATACTCAGAAATATCAGTTGCCATAACGAGGGCCCAAAAGTATTTCAATCTGGCTTGTTTTACTGAACGATCCATACCAGGGTGCGCAACACCTGGTACATCGTGAACTAGCTGTAAGGCTACATTCACTAGTGACTGTGGAATTACTAACTGGTAAACTCTTCTGCTAGGAGTACCCAACTTGGCTGTTCGATACAGTAATTCTTGGTTCATGACAAAGTCACTGATGGGTGCTGGTGGCTTCACAGTCAGAATAAGATCTTCCTGGAGCAGGAATCGAATCACACCAGACCACATGGGATCTGTTCGTTGAGCATTCTTTACATCTTCAGCACTAAATGGAGGGTCTGCAGTTACTATACTAACATGTCGTGATAAGGCATCTGCGACTACATTTGACTTGCCAGGTAAGTGTTCAAGGTGGGATTGAACTCTTGGATAGTCAAGGTCCATCTGGCTAACCTTCCAGTAGGTTGTTTGTTCTGGAATAAAGGTATCAGTGGAGCATGGTCTGTCAGGACATGAACAGAGTACTGATAAATAATGTCTCGGAAGTGCTTTAAAGACCATACTATTTCTAAAGCTTCTTGCTCAGTTACTGTATAATTACGTTCAGCCTTCGTAAGGACTCGGCTA